TGTTTTCTTTTCTGGAAGACCATGAAAAAGATTATTTTGATGAAAACCTTGCTGACCACACTCCGTATCTTGACGTATCACTTAAGGTGATGGTGGTATTTTGTGGATTTGGCTGCAGGGGTCTTGCCCAAAACTGCACAAATCATCAATGAAAGAAGCATCTGAAGCCCAGATGTTCCAAACATTAGATTTGTGCCCTCTGTATCAAAATAGTTCTCTTCCATCTGCTTGGAGTCACATGAATGTAAAACAGGCTTTCTACATAATGTCACACCTGAACATCCTGATCTAGACCTGAAGTCTTGCTTGTTGTCTTTCTGTACCAAGAAAAACCTGTGCCACCTCACCATCCTAATGAAGGGAGAATTTGTCTATGAAATGCAAGACAGCACAGAAGGGGGCAGGGCAGAACCTTAGAATAAAAGAACAAGAAATTCAAATTAGGCTGAAGAAGGGAAAAATTTCCAACAGAGGCATTAACAAGCTTGCTTAAGATAACAGGAGATATGGTAAACCAGTTCTTCAAGGACCGAGATAATTTCAATTTTCTTCACTTAAAATTCCAGCCTGCAGTCTCTGATGAACTTCTTGTCAACATGATACAGGCTTGACACTGCTGCTCTTGTTTAGGGTTGTCTCCTCTTCTTGGCTCCTATAAAGTCCAGAGTAATTTTCAGTCATCTGTCCAAGACAGGGTTCAAAAGCTCTGATATTACTGTTATTCTTTATCTTCTTTCAGTCCACATTGGTATACATGTCCTATTTTCTCTCAGAAACAAAGCTGAAGATCTGCTTCATTCACTGCCTTTCAGGGAAAGAATCAAAACGATCTCATCACTAAGGTTATATGGGAAAGTCACACAAGGGCATGCAAGTAATGGCCTTGTGGCCCCCTCAGCAGTACTGGATCCACTCTTCATGAAAGATCATGAAAATGATCCAGATTAACTAGAGTAGTATGCATGTGAAGGCCTCCAGATTGCACCCATGTTAAAAACAACACATGGAATTTGCCACAGCAATTAACATGCAGTAACATTTCTGAACTGGTAGTGATGTTTGAACTTTCAGTGGTTAGCAGATAGGCTAACAAATAAACTGTGCACACAAATAAACTCCATCACAAATTTACAATGTTTTACCCAATATCTGAGGTCAACACCTTAAAAAGGCTGTGCTCTATGAAAAAGCACATACACAGGAGTGATCTGCAGTTACCTTGTCATTTCACCTTCTCTGGAAATTGTAACTGGAAAGGTGTAGACAACTAATAAGATAAATATTACACTAACATTTCACTGTGGGTTTCTAATACACACAATACAGACACCAGAACAGTGATCCCAGTATCTTTATTGTATATTAACACATTTCTGGTAACAGTCTTGCTCACTCTAACCTGCCTTTTTACTGAAATAACTTCAATGTTAAAAAAAAAAAACAAATCCCTTCAAAACACTGCTTTGGGAGGCAGAGACTGTCATGGTAGTAAAAAGACTTGGATATAAAAGATGGGGCTTCATTTTCACAAGAGTATGAAAGCAAGCCAGAATCAACACTGAACACTTGTTTGCTCAATGACTGACCTATGGCAAGGTCACTCTCAGTGAACTGAAAATCTATAGAGTTCATTCTAAAAAAGTCCCACAAACAAAAAGAATTACTCTGCATAGCATCTTGTCCATATAAGGTGCTTACAAACACATGAACTTTAGAGAAAACACCTTCATTTTCTGATAAGTTGCTGAAATGATGCAGTTTTGAGGTGTGACACTATTTGATGTTTCTTTTCCTTGAACCTCAACTCTCAGTTTATCCAGTTTGTTCTTCAAAGTAGTAATCTTATTTATTGCTGAAGACGAAAACACTTTGAAAATACTGTGACAGAAATTAAAAAGGACAAATACATGCTATGCTACTTCGTGAAAAAAAAAACAACAAAAAACGCCAAACTTTTTAGGGAGTTACTGATTATTTGTGATTGCTAATTTTTCGAGTTCAACTCAACAGGAACTGCCTGTCAGTTGTCTACTTTTAACTGTTTGAGAACTTCACAGGGTCACCAAGAAAACAGTAGGATAAAGTCCCTTTTTATTTTTGCTGGTAGACCTGAATGCCAGCATGAAAGTAATTTCTGACACTGCACTTTGTACTCTTTGCTATGAATGTCTCTCATTATTTTGACACTGATAATGGTCAAGTTTGTGTTGCCTCAAGGGAACTACAGTAACTGCAGTAACACAACGAAGAGCCATCTAGAGATGCCAGGCCATCCCCTGTTAACATACCAAAACACACAGACAGTGTTGGTAGAATGGTGGTAAAAGTCCACTGATAAAATATTTGTAGTCTTTTAACTCCACATCTAGCTTTAAATTGTAGACCTATAAACACAATTCCTAACATGAACGTGACCACAAACAGGTATTACTGACTTGGTTCAAGGGGTAAGGAACAAATACAGTTCTGCTCTCTGGGGATCCGGATGGATGAAGGAGGGGGATTGCACAGTGCAGCCAGAGACAGCACAGAAGCAAGGCTGTGCCCACACTCCAGGCCAGGACTGCAGGGTACAGGCAGCTGGCACTCAACAGCAAATATGACAAGGGCTGCTTTACCTGCTCACGTGGCACATGCCAAACAGCATTCCTACATTCTGTAAACTTCTAGAACTACAGCTAGCTCACATACAACTGTATGCCACTACTTTGGTGAGACTCATCAGGAAAGGTGTCTTCAAAGACTGACTATGCCAAACTTTTCATCCTTGCCGGGTGTGCAGAAGTGTACGTGAACACTGGTGTTTAGCCTCCTCTCCCCTACTCTACCAGACTTCTAAAGATGTCACACTTAACCTTCTCTACTTCACTTACTTCTGAAGCAAACAGTTTTTTATTTAAGCAATGTGAAGTAGAAGGAATTTTTAGCAAAGAACACCTTGGCAAAGAAATTGTCCTTTTAACTAAAACTAGGCATCATGACATAAATATTAAGGAAAATGTAGAACACCATTATCTAGTGCTTCTCTAAAAGTGTGTTTCTTGCTAGGTTCACACTAGGTGGGGTGGCAGATATCTTCATTTTCTACAGTAACCAGAAACTATAACCAGAAACCCCCAACCAGTGTGTTAAAGTTACAGTAAAGGAGTACCTCTCTTATTTGCTTTGAACAATTGTAACAGTTATGCCTACAAAAGTACATTATCACCAAAATCATGTGGTTATCTCTGTGGAATTTATAGTTTGCGCATCCACAAACCCATATGCAAAAAATGTACTATATGTTTACGATATATAATGCGTACTTCCTTCATTTACAAACAACAGTATATGCAGTAAGAAAACCTTAAGCAAAATACACCCTGATAATCGGACGACCATGAAAGTTTAAGTCTCTCCAACAATTAACATCTTTCATAACCTTGCTAGAAGCATTAATGAAAATTTAAGTGTGAAAAATGTACATTCTTTATTCTGCTGCTTAGATACAGAATAAAATTTAACTTTTCAGAAAATGAAACTATAGCTACAGCTTTGAGAGCTGTCAGTTTTCTTTTGAGGATAAAGTACATGCACTTTTTCCAGTTACTTTATTGCACATAATGTACAGTCATAAATGGTGTTTATTTACATGTGTTTTGGCAACGTCCATGTTTGCTTTTCCCCTCAGAATACATTATTTTGCACAAACAAAACCTTAAATGTTTCACACAAACTGCCATAATACAAGTCAAAGCATATATGTATATATGTCGCTTTATTGTTGCTGTATTTTCAATTAATTCTAAGTTTCAGATCTCAGTTAAACTTTGCCTTGGGAGGCAGACTCCTCCCAGTTAGTCTGTTGTCAAAGACGGACACCTGAACTGCAGGCACCAAGAAATTAGGACTGCAGCCTGCTGTGCCTAAGCCCCAGCCCCTATGCACCACCTGCAATTAGTGCGCAGGCACAGAGAAGGAAGAGCACTGTACTTTCGTTAACCAGTTTGATTCAACATTGATTACCACGTGTTAATGTTATGGGTCATGTGTTATTGGGACAGTATTCCATTAACAGTGTTTAAGAAAAGTGTATCAAACGTATTAAAATAAAACAGAAATTCCAGGAACAATTATGTACTTCCAGCCCTAGGAATGTGTTACTCCGTTCTGTTCAATGTGCTATTTCTGATAACTGGTATTTTTATCCAGACACAAAGAACTGTTTCATATACTCATGTTATGAGTATAAGCTCCAAGTTAATTTCTTAAAACACACTTCAATGTTTCCCTACATTTTCAGGGCAGAAAACCTTTTAGTGGTCCCCCTCATGGAGTATAATCTGGCAATAAACCTTTCGCTACATGCAGATTTTTGACACACTTTTAAGAGGTATGTTCAAATGAAAGATCAGTATTGTCAGTACACTGAACATATGCTCATTAAAAATATCTGAAGGATGTTCCTGAAGGCACTTTATAACGTGCACAAAAATACCCTTGGAGAAACCAAATTTATTGTACTTTGGTACAACACTTAAGATGTGAATAGCATTGCTCAGCATTTGCTGTGAAAGGCTAGATTATATTTTTGCTTATATTCTGATCTACCAAAAAAAAAATTTATCATAAGATAAATCCCACTTTACTGGATCAAAGAGCAATTATCTAATTGTCTTGAATGCATGATCTTTCAAATGTTAAGACAATTTAACCTCAGAATAAGAAAGAAAAAGAAACTAACTTCAGTGATTTAGGTATACTGAAGTCATCCTCAAATTCGGTTCTAAGAACAGTTCATATCCTTTCCTCTAAGTGGGCAAAGCATAAAATAGTTAAATTTTCAGACAGGCACACAGATAAATTGAGAAATGCCTTTGGTGGACAACAATAATGAATATATTATTTTGATTTTAGAGTTTTCCTATTTTTTTCTGTCCTTCAGTTTTAAAGTACTACAAAATTTACAGCAACTTCAACTACTGCATATACTGAAGAATGAGATGAAAATGCACTGTGGACAAAGTATAACAGTAGTTTAATATCTATTGATAAAAATACAAAATAATAAAAATATTACAGAAAAGCAGTAGTTCTGGTAACAGAAGTGTTCTTTAATGTAAAACATTAAAGTTTTGTTCCATATGAATAGTTTCACCTATACTGTACAGAGTACTTCACCAAACTACATGTGCGCCTCTGATAATATTCTTTAAGAATATAAATTATTTGCTCTATAAAGACACTTGTTCCATTACCCAGTCAAAAGGTCCTGATATTATTTGTTGTAAATATCTAATATTCTTATCATCTGCCTGTGGCTGAGTTTTAGGATAGCAACACGATCTGTTAAATAAAAAAGAAAATTCTGCACAAGTGAAACTATTCAAAATAAACTGGCATTTCAGCTCTACCTAAAATTTTTGTAAAACGAAGAACTACATGCCATTAGAAAACTAGCAAACATCATCAAAGCTAGACTATTTTTCTCCATAAAATAAAGATGCATAATATTTTAATTACTAGCAATACTGTGAGAACTCTATTTATATTGCATGTATTTCAAGATAAATAGTTTGAAAGTCATAAATTAAAGGAGGAATTTGAACAGATTCCGATTCCTCATCTGGATTTTTACTATCTACAGGAAAAAAAAAGGACTTTCAGGAAGAAAACGGTTGACACCTGAAAAGTTATCTACACTGTGGATCTCCCTCGACGTTAGCGGTAATTACTGCCGACTCAAGGTTACAAATCTAGAACTACCTGGGAAACGTAAAGCAGCCTCAGACAGTGTAGTTCTAAGAAAGGGGAAACGTATCTGTAAAAATATTTGCATAGACGTACACTCAAAACAGCATTTTCACCATCTCAATTCCCTGCATTCATGTTGCTCCAGTCATCTACAGGGATAAAGATGACAAAAAGGCAGCTCTGGAATTTGAAATGGATGTTGCTTGGTAATTTAGTGAAAAGTGTATTTTTGTACTTTCTGCAGTCATTAGGAAAAGATCCAGTTTGACCTTTGGCTTACAGAAGTTGTACTCCCCTGAGCTAGGCAATACTGACAGACTACAGCAAAAGTACCAAAAAAAAAAAGTTACTTGAAATAGCGTGGCATAAATAAGGCACTTTAGCCAAAGGAAACCCCCAGGTTTTGTGTTTCAATGTACAGCAATTCTATCCAGAAATATTCTGTGCTTAGAAATGTCACATGATGCAACAGTGAATCAGGTGCCAAAACCAACAAATCACAAATTACCGTGCCATTAACTGCAACGTCTGAATGGTTCAACAAAGAATCAAACTGGTTTCTGTACACCATCACAATTTACCAATACACTGGCATCTTTTGCTCTTTTGCTGTGAGCCAACAGTAATTATTTTAGAGAAAGAAAAAGAAAGTGTGGAATTAGTAATGCAGATGCTGAAAGGCAAGTGGCAAGACTCTACAAGAAGAATGCCTCAAAAAATGCTACTTTGTTCCCATTTCTACTGGCACCCATTTGCTAAGGTAAAAGGCCAGAATGACCAAAGCCAACTTAACAGTAGTGTGCAGAATGTCAGCTGACAAACAACATAAAAACAAGTCACGTTGTGTTATCTGTGGTCACGTTCTTCAGGGTTAGTCCAGTAACTCAAGACTTTACATTCTTCCGTCTTTATTTGTTTATTTTAATTAAACATGTAATGGTTAATAAACAGACATAGTCCAGAGTTAGTAGGTTGGTATTATAACATTTATTAAAATAATGCTATGGGTTAATAGAAACAGCAAAGAACCAAAGAATTAAAATGCAAGCTATGTAAAAACCCAACTAAAACCCAAATATGTCTAATGTATTCATCCAGTAGCTAACTAAAAGCCCAAGAAAGACAACACTCCCAATATAATAAAGTACTGCAAAACAATTGGCAATTTTTCAGTTATCAAAATTGTGGGTTTTGCATTTTGTATCCTTTTTTCTCAATCAGGAAAAAAATTCTTTTGAATGTTATATAACATACATATAAAACAAGATAGAAAAATACATTATAAACTTGTAACAATGGCTGTAAATACATTATCTTACATGTTTCTCATAGGCAATAGGTTGGTTATGGTACATACATAGCATGAAACTACTAAGATAATAAAGAATAGACAAATACATGTCATCTGTACGGTTACATACAAGCGACACTCCCACCTACCCACTCTAAAAAAATTACATAATACTGTCAGAAAGAAGTCTTAAAACTACTTATTTTAATAAAGAAAAAGTCATTAAAGAATGATAATACTGAGAACCAAGGCATTCAGAGATTTCAGAAGTCATGCTTTTTTTTTAAGTTGATCCAAAATTTTGTCAACTAAGTTTTCAGAAGTTTGTTCAGAGCAAACATTACTTTCACATGTCACACATCTATTCCATACACTTCCCCTCCCCCCCCAGTAAAAGACCTTTGATAAATGTCTAAAATGTCCAGGTTTTATCATAGTTGAGATGAAACTGGATCAAATACTGGTATTGTTTTAGCAAATCTCTCTTCAAATGTTCGAGTGTCGCAAGTTTATTCAACCAACCAACCAAAATAAAATCAAAATGGCACAGCATATACTGTAAATAAAATCAACACAACTGTATGTGTAACAGGAAGACAAAGCCGGTGGCACAATAAACAAAATTCTAGCTGAATACGAAAGGATGAATGTCTATTGCATAGTAAATAAACTGATAATTATTTCCAGGTGAGACAAGATGTTAGATGAGGTCACCATGCAGGTGCTTAAAAATGTAAGCCCTCTTAGCTTACTATTGACCTTTCATTTGGAAGCTGTGAAGATTTGCAGGAGGAGAATAAGTTGACAAGAGGGGAATAAAATTATCACCTGATATTTGCCAAGTTTAGTACTGAGCCCCACAAAGTAATACTTAATGTTTTCAGAATTAAATACTGTGCGTTCAACAGCTTCAGCTCTTGCAATTGCCCAGCTATCCGAACCTCATGTGGAAACAAGGGTTAAAAATAAGGTATAGCTGGACTTCAAATGGCTGAAGTCCCTCTCCTGCTTATCTTTTGAAGAAAAGCCAATGGGCCAGATCTAACAATAGTCAAAGACGAGCTGAAAAGTAAGTAACTTCCATGCTTTTTGCCACTGCAGGAGCTGTTCCTGGAAACTGGGGACGTGCTCAGTCACTGACTGAAAACTTGCTACGCACTTTCAGTTTCATTATCCGCAGAGCATCCATTTTCTGGGTGATGCCGAAGCCTACTACAGCTGATGTAATATTTATTTCAAGCGAGATCAAGAAAACTCCTCTCCATCCCTGAACAAAAATGACATACCTTCCAGCTCTACAAACATTTGTCAGCTAATAATCTCCTTTAGCATGAGACAGTCTGTATCACAGAACCCTTTGGTTTACGTTGCACAAGTACGGCATTTGCTATGATTTAAAAAGTAGAGTGGTTGAAATAATAATGGGCTGGTTTGATGAAAACTTAGCAAATACTTCACTTAATGAGATTTTGGCAAAGTCACATCACACTAGTATGGCAAAAATCAGGTAATTAATATGGTCAACTCATCATTTGTCTTCCCTCACAGCTTCTTTCACATACTGGGCGACTGAGTGGCATGCAGTAACTTGTCTGAGGGAGAAGCTGATTATACGAGACATTTGACTAAATGACCATGAAGAAAATAAGGCACTTCCTTTTCTTTAGACTTATTCCAATACTTAGAAAATAAAAAAGAAAGACTAAAAGGCTCTTTTGGTCTTTTGTTTCTTGACAACCACCAGAAAAAATCATTTAATGAAATAAAGGGTTTCTTTGTTCTTTTTTTCTTTTTTTATAACACTTGAAAGTATAAAATGCTACATTTCCAAAAATATATTTTTTTTTCTGCACCAGCACCCTTGTATAGTAAAAGTATCTACTTTTTTGTTCATTTTGTTTCAATGCACTACACTTTATCTACATTTTCATTACATGTATACAGCAAATAGGCAAGCATGGCTTTTACATCCTTAATGAAATTTTTCTATACAGGGAGGTTTAAAAAAAATATTTGAACAGTTTGCCCAGTAATGTGACACATAATGCATGTACCTTGTTCTCATGTAATCTTCCAAGGAGATTAAAATATGATTAAAACAATTTAAACTTGTATTTCACTTTTTAATAGTGTTTCTATTTTGTTCTCTGCATTAATGTAGTTCTGAAAAGTCATCGTAATCTGCATTTCACGGCACACTTCCTTTAAAATGTCCAATTTGGCAGGCAATAGAAAAAAGGCTGCAACATCTGCCCTTTGAGGGCACTGGTAGTGACTAAACAGCGTATCAAATTTTGAATACTTTTTGGAATCCCTTCCCCAATGACATCCCTGACCAAAGGTTCATGCATGATGCATCATCACACAGTACATTCAGAGAGAGCTTTGACTTTTTTTTTTTTTCTTTTTTTTTTCTTTTTTTTTTTTCTGAGAAGAAAAATATTCCTAGAAGTCTCTCACAGTAACTGCCTCTGTCATCGGGTAGTTAAGGGACATCTGTCTCCATCTCGTGCGAGGCCTCCTTACCGTTCGCTTGGGGCAGGACACTAGAGGATGATCAGTGCGGAGGGATGAGTTGGACCTTATTGCTTTACTACTATTCAGTGCAGGTTCTAGAACCACTTTCACCCAAACAGGAGAACAACAAAAAGCGGAGTTGGAGGACAACAATTTCTTTGTCTGTTTTGTTAGATGGTAAGACGAACGGACAAGTGCCCCAGCTCGCTGCACTGAAGACAGGCAAGCAAAGGCGTTTACCAGTTAACTGATCAGCAGGCAGGCATGGTCAGGTCATCATTGGGTGAAGAGTTCAGAGGTCAGAAGGTCATAGGTTAGTTGCCGGTGGCGGCTGGGTGGTTAGAAACAAA